TTAAACGAGAGACTACACCTTCAAAATTGCTGTTTACCGACTTAAGTGCATCATGTTCTCGAAGAAAAAACCGAGTAAAACAAGGTGTATAATGCCTACATTTAGATGTTTTTAGTAACTCTATGCTTCCATTTGACTTCAGTCAGTTAGCAGGACTTGGTCTTCTTGAGCGCATGGCTCAATCTATTTTCCTTCCTGAGTGAATATTATTTCGAGAGAATTAACTGTACTTTCAAACAAAAAAAAGTTTCTGAATTCAATGGAAACTTAATATAGCGTGAACTATTACTGAAACGTCCGAAATAATACTCACTCACAGAAAAAAATAGACTGAGTCGTCCGCTCAAGAAGACAAGTCTTACTAACTAGCTAGAATCAAACACCTGGTGAAGCGAAAATGGAACAACGCGACAATGTATTATTCGCGATGGGAGTCCCGGTGCTCCAGCAGCGATTTATGCGCGATCGCGACATGACTTCGCGAGAACTAGAAAGTTCATGGCGCGATTTCGCGAGAAAAGCAGGATCGTGGTACCACATCGCGACTTCTTTAGGACGATAACACAAGAATAACGAATAAATCGCGATCGCGGCACGACAGTCGCGAATTCAGCACTTTCATTCTTAGACCACAACAAAACCACGATCATGAAACAAGATTCTTATTTCGCGATCATAACCGTGCTCGGGTTACGCGTACTTGCCGCGACCTTTTATAGCGAATCGCGGCGCGACAAAAGCAAAATAGTTGATCAACTAGTTGAGCAAAATAGTAGAATTATATTTATTTTATTTTATTTTTAGTCCACATTCGACTACCTTTAGAGTTGGAACGACTCAAATTGTATCCTATGAAGAATTTTCTGAGCTCCATAAAATAGTGAAATCTGATGTTTTTTATTCAAAACGATTATGACAGACGACAAGAGCGGAGCCTGGTTGGCTCTTTTTAAGATTTAGGCACCACGACGCTCATGGGACATGACTTGTAGAGGAAAACTGTGGATTCGTACACAAGTCGAGACTGACTACAAATTGAGCATAGTGGCTTGAAGTCGTGTATAAGCCCGGAGGGCCTATGTGGAAGCACCCTACTGTATTTCGGTGAGTAAACAATTCAATGATGCACTTTACTGGACTGGGAACGTCTCCAGATGCGCACACCCATGGATATTCATATAAAAGGCGTCGGCAAATAAATAATTATACAATAGCGTATAATAATAGAGCAATACATTTCGGTTATATTCGATATTTCTCAACTTTCTCTTATTTTTGTTGTTATGCTCCATTGTGTTATTTTTTCTTATTACATTTTATTCTTCTTATCATGTTTGGTATGTTAACCTTTTTTTGTTGATTTCGTTGGTATAGGAGGATATGCAATTCATAGGGTAAATAGCCGAATGTCAGAACTTCACAAACATATGTAAAATATTGCATTAGCTTAAGTGGCTTCAAAACTGATTAGAGTAACAGTTTTGAAAACGTAAAACTGAGATATTTGGGATTTACAGTTATCTCAGTTTTACGTTTTTTACAGACTGTGAAAAACCATGAAGCCAAATGGGATGAAATTTTTGAAGCGACCTACATTTTAGCCGTACTGTATCCACAAAAACCTTCAAGTTATCGTTTTCTCGGGATCAAATAGCCCTGGGCTTTGTTGTAGATATACAATCTGTTTTGTTTTCTTCAAGTTTCAGTATTGTTAATAAATGAATGGTATTTACAAAGGACAATGTATTCCAAATTAAAGATACGCTGAAACAGGTAGTGCGAATTATACACAAACAACTCGAAATGGACTTGTCTTTTTTCGCCTGAAAAAAAAACATCCTATGCTACAGACTGATGATTTTCTCTAGAAATCAAATTCTGACATGTTGTATTAAAAAAGTCAACTTTTTGCCGGCAGGTGGGTCTAAGGAAAAAAATGTGTTACTTTCGAAATAAGCGCCCTGAGTACAAATCCTTTTAGAATTTTTCTTAGGACTATATCCTCTGTTAGTCAGCACCATAGCAATAGAAATGGGTGTGCGCATCTGGAGACGTTCCCAGTCCAGTAAAGTGCATCATTCAATTGTTTACTCACCGAAATACAGTAGGGTGCTTCAACTAGGTGGTTGCTTGCTAGAGTTACAGAGCAGTCATCGTCACTTTCTTGCAGAACCGCTAAGTTATGCGTGAAGCAAATTTTGTCTTTTTTTTATTTATAGCATTTTCCAAGTTGACTGAATTGGCTGATAGCGATACAGACCGCCATGGTTCTTATATTTTGAAATGGATATTAGCGCAACTACATACCAACTTCCATCGCCGTTTCTTTCTTTAGTTCAACTTCAGTCATATAAGGTGATGGATCAACACTTCATAGCAGCTGCTGCTGTCATTTTATTATAATACATTCTTTAACTTTTTTTGGTTGCGTAATTCCATTAATTGTATAGTGTTAGTGTGAGGTTTCTATTAATTATACTCCCATATTCATTTAGTCACGCTTGATTTCACTTCCTACAACTAGAGTCGTCCTTCATTTCGTTACTCTAAGAGTTTAAGAGGAAGGAAGTAATAACGAAATGTTATGTGCGATTACTAGTAATTATTGCGAAATACATGTTTAGAGGTGTTAACCGACAAAACGATCGCCAACGCCATAAAAGATGTTCTGGCTGATCGGCGGCGGATGAATCGTATTTTTTGTTCCGCCTTCAGTGACGGCTGCGTAAAAGTTTCTCCATATTTTTTCGGAATTTATTAATCAAGCCAAAATTTTTTCTCATCAGCGGTGGCGGCAATGACTCACAAAATTACGCCTCCGGCGGGTCGACTAATACCTCTACACATGTTCTGGACATGTCAGACTGTCGTCGAGTATTTCAAATCTCAATTTTAGTTTGTTAACTCTTTTATTTTAACTACTTTTCCCCATCTCTTCTCTAGTCAGTTTTCTAAACGCTGTAATATACATCAATTAAATGTTCACAGAAACGAGTACAATCACCGTTCAAAAACTACTTTATAACATTCATGTCCTCTTTCATAATAGTTATTAATATCTTCATTTAATTTATTTATTCTTTTTAAATTTTGTATAACATTTGATGTTTGTTCTAAAATTCTATGTTTTATAACATATTCATTGTCAGCTTGTTCTTCTTGATTATACAGTTCCATACATGTATTTAGTATGTGGAATAAACGAAATTTTGGCATTGTTATAAAATCTTCGTTAGTTGATATTGAACGTGGTGGAATATTGTGCGTCGGTGGTAAAAAAGAATTTATATGTGAAATGCCATCTTCAGCTTCTGAAAAGAAAACAAAAGAAAAGAAAACCGTATTCTAGACGGTTTCATATAACTATTACGGATTTGTCAGGTTTCTGAAAGATCGGTCTCTTCAAAAGCGCTGTCTATTATTTTTTTCGCATTAAGATCTTCGATTTAACAGTAAATTGAATATCTGTCTTAGAGAGTAAGACTAGGACAAGCCTTTTCAAACCACTTAAAAATTATGAATAATTTCGTTTCGAGAATTTAAAATAGTCCAAATGTTGGTTGTAAGCCAGTTGAAGGACTGCTGACTTTTAATACTGACTTTGTTCGAAGAGCTGCACACAACAGAATA